CAGCATGGTTGGCTGAGATCCTCTACCCTCTCCAAAGAAGGCAGAGCAATGGCAGAATAACTGCCCATGGCAGAACATAGTCTGTTTCATCCTGATACAGACCCTCATTTCAAAAGTACGCACAAGATTTGACAGGCTGCTTCTAAGTTTGGCTTTTTACCACAATCTAGCCTAGATTGTGGTGGCCAGCCCCTCAGCTTAATTATCATCAACCTTCATGACCTGCTTCCTTCAGTCCTCAGCAGGGCCAGAACTCTAGGGCCTCTGTAGCTGGGAGACTTAATTTTTCCACCAGGGGTGACAACAAACTAAAGGGAAAGAAGAAGATCAGGGCCAACAGTGTTTTTAGCATGCATTTTCTCTTCTTTAATAGCCTCCAACCCTTCAGCTCCAGTTTTTGGCGCTCCACCTCATCATTTTTAGATGCATGGCATTAGATCACTTCTCACTCATGGGTGTTGGTGATTACAGAGCATGTTTATGCAATTTAATTTCTCAAACTGTCCCCAGTAGGGACTCTACGGGCCACTCCTCCTCCTGTGTTATAGTAGGAGGTAATTACTTTGTTTCAAAAGGAGCAGTAGCTTCTTTACATCTTTCTATGTTTCCTTCTTTTCCCTTTTCCCCAAATACTTTTTGGTTTCCAAGAAAGGCAGTGGGCTTTGGCCAGTTTTGGACCTTAGAGGACTTTATGCATATATTGCATATTGCAAATTTCAGATGTTGTCATTACCAACCATCCTCCCTCTGTTATCCAGCAAGACATGGTTCAGTAGCATTGATTTGAAGGATGCCTATTTTCATGTGGTGATTAGACCACAAGACAGTAGATTTTTGTCACTTTTTACTAGCAGTCAGGCCTTTTCATTTCAAGTTCTTCATTATGGTATCTCCACAGCTCCACAGGTGTTACTAAGGAGATGGCTGTATGCCGGCTCATCCCTGGGTGCACGGGGTGGTAGTTTGCCCCTATATTGATGGCTGGTTGTTGGTGCACAGTTCTGTGAGTATCTACAGAGGAACATTCACTTTACTCTGTCTTTATAGCAGGAGCTTGGTCTTTTTATCAACAAGGTAAAATCTCTTCTTCAGCCTATCCAAACAACCAATTCATTGGGCCTGTATTGGACTCTTGGCATGCAAGGGCCTTCAGACAGGTTTCTGACTCTGCATTCATTAGCTCTTTGAGTCTGGAAGAAGCCATACATCCATGCCAGGGATGTCCAGTGCCTTTTGGGACACATGGCATTCACCACAGCTGCCACTCCTTTCTCCTGTTTGCACCTTCGGCCTCTCCAGAATTGGTTTCTTCGGGCACTTCATCCCATGCAGGATGAGCCCAATGAATGTCTCAATGTCCCTTTAGCCATCCACCGGTCTATCAACTAGTGGACTCATCGCTCCAATCTCTGTGTGGGCGATGTTAGCAACAGACACTTCCCTCTCAGAGTGGTGAGCTCGCCTCAAGGGTCACACCATCCATGGTCCTTGGGCGGCCCTAGAGGGCATAGAGCACATCAACTATTTGGAGTTACTTGCAGTAGAAATGGCACTGCACCTTATCTGTCATTTGCTCATGGACAGTATTGTCCAGCTTACCACCACCACCACAATTGTGATTTGCTTGCCCTCATCAGAATCTGGGACTGGTATACCATAACCATCAGTGCCATTCATCAAGAACTCTCTTGCTGGCTCCCTCAGTCAGACAGTTTATAATGACCACTAATGGTCCCTTCATCCTTCCCAGGGATGGGAACTCTTTGTCAGATGGCAAACTCCCCTTCTGGACTTGTTTGCCTCTCCCGCCAACATGAAGTGCCAGTTCTTTGGAGCACGTCTTACCTCCACCAGACAGGCTGTTGGGAGATGCCTTCCTCCTGGATTGGACATCCGCCCTCCTGTACATCTTTCCACTACTGCCACTGCTGTCCAGAGTGGTCTCTCGTCTTCAAGCAGAGCAGGTAGATTGCATTCTCATCACACCATGGTGGCCCCGCCAGCCATGGTTTGTCACTCTGCTCCAACTTGCAGGCAGCTGTTACATTCAGTTGCCACTCAGACCAGACTTGCTGACTATGGGCAACAGCCCAGTCCCGTACTCCCAGGTCACTCAGTTCCGGTTGACGGCGTGGCAGATCCAGCCTCAGCCCTCTCTCAACCAGTAAAGAGCAGTTTGGACCTTGCCCTGAGACCTGCCACTAAACATTCTTACATTTATAAGTGGTGTCATTTTTGCATTTTTTCACAAAAGCAAGGAGTTCAGCCTCTGTCTGCTTCCACTTCCCTCCTCCTGGATTTTTTGATTTTTCTGTCAGATTCAGGACTCTCATTAACATTCTTGAAGGTCAATCTGGCAAATATAGATTCGTTTAGAAGCGAGCATTCTCTTCCCTCTCCTTTATCCGATCCTCTTGTAAAGAGATTTCTGCAAGGCTTTAGAAATTTCTGGCCCCAAGTAGGCCTGTGCCCCCCTCTTGGAGGTTGGAGGTTGTTCTTCCGCCCTTATGAAACCACCATTTGAGCGAATGGCCACTTCTGACATGTTCCATCTATCATGGAAAACAGCATTTTTAGTGCCTATTACTTTTGCTCATTGCGCTAGCAAGCTTATGGCTCTTGAGTCGATAGTCCTTACGTGAAATTTCATAAGGATAAGGTCATGCTGGGCACAGACATTCCCTTCTTACCTAAGGCAGCATCATAGTTTCATATGTCTCAGGACATTGTCCTTCCAACCTTATTTCCAAATCCTTCTACTCCCCTGGAGCAGTCTTTGCACCTTCTTGATGTGCGGAGGGCTCTTGCTTTTTATGTCCACCGCACAGCTCCATTACGGAACTCACTACGACTTTTTGTTAAGTACCGTAGGGATACTGTGGGCCTTCCTGTTTCTACCCAGAGGTGGTGGCCTGGATAGTTGCAGCTATCCGGCTAGCTTATGAAATGGCAGGACTGGACTTACCTGTTCAGATCCATGCTCATTCCACTAGAGCATTGGCAGCCTCCATGGCTTTTTTGCACGGTGTGCCTCTGAATGATATCTGTTGGGTGGCCATATGGTCAACACCGCATACTTTTGTCTCCCATTATAAATTGGATTTAGCTGCCAAGAAGGAGACGGCTTTTGGGAGAGCAGTACTTTTTTCTGCACTAGCATGACACCCACCATCCATGGGACTGCTCGCTAGTCTACCACAGGTGTGGATTTCACAGTACCACGCAGAAGAAAGTAAGGTTGCTTACCTGTAACCATGTTTCTTCTAGTGGTTAACTGTGAAATTCACACAACCCGCCCATCCTCCCCACATTCTGTCATGCCTTTTATCTCCGACTGTCTTTCGCGGTACGGAATTAAGGCTCCAAGCCCCGCTGCCTGGCTTTATTAGGAGTAGATGGGCGGGGCTGGAGTCCCTAATTAGGAAAAGCTTTCAAGAAAGATCCGAGTCAGCTGCGTGGACGCAGGGAAATACCACAGGTGTGAATTTCACAGTTAACCACTAGAAGAAACATGGTTACAGGTAAGCAACCTTACTATCGGTTTAATCAATTATGGATCTAATTATATAAACTGTTACAGACTACAGAAAGTTTAGAATAGACGTATGTTCTCAGGAGCTAGTTTCAGATACAACTTTACATATATAGGCAGTCCCAGAGTTACAAACATCTGATTTACAAGCAACTCATAGTTATAAACAAGACTGAGACAACAGGAAGTGAGAAAAATCTACCTCTCAGATAACTCCTGAAAGAGTTATCATGGAGGAAAGGTGTCTCCACTGAAGCCAATTTTTTAAAGTCCAATTCTTACAGGGACAGAAAGTGAGGTGAAGTCTTCTGAACAGGAGCACAGACAGCAAAACAAATGCCACAGGGATTTCCTATGCAATCCAAAGCTAATACATATACATATTTGGTTGGAGTTACACTTTAAAAATGTACCTTCCGACTTACAAACAAATTAAACTTAAGAGCAAACCTAAATAAGCTGTCTTGTTTGTAACTTGTGGGTTGCCTATAGAAGATCGTGCACATAGAAAAGAATTCTGGGTTTGAATATTGAAGTATAAGCTTGAATATGAAGCAAGCAAAATACAGTACCTGTTTATAGCCTGTTCTACTTCTTCTTTTTCTCCTTGGTATGTCAGCTTTTGAATATACAAGAAAATGAATAACCATTGGAAGTGGGACAATGAAAAGATACAGGGCAAGGATAGTGAAAATACAGCACAATGCCTTGTTTGTTTCCTGTTTAGTCTTATATTTTAGATAAATAATAGGAATACATGACTTGCCTGGTTCTTCCTATTGCAGCTGATGCAGATAAGAAAAGGGGGAGAGGGCATTTTTATTAAAATAATTTCAAAAGAAATTATTTTGTCTAAAATGCCAGTTTATAACCTGTGGTTAGAATTATTGTGATCTAAAATCATCACTGCTCTTAAAATGGATTGTTTTTAAGAGAAGCAAAATATAAAGAATAGTCAAGATATGAGGAGAGGGACAGGAATGAACAGAATATGGTTTTTACATTGTAGGTTATGTCTAAAATTCGGTCCTTGGTCTGGAAAAGTTGACTAATAATTTAAAATGATTTTCTCATTACTATTGTTTGTGGAGCTATGATTTTTTATTTTTAGAATTTCTACTATTTGTGCCTTTCTAGAAACCTTTTTGTTTTTAAACTTGTATTTTAGTAATTTGTTACTGCAGATCACAAGTGGTAATAGTTAAGCGAGTGTTGTTGAACTCAGCTTTGTGTATGTTAGCCCTAGCTGGCATAGACAAAACTGAGGAATCCTGGGAGTGGGAACCCAATAGTGTCTGTAAGACTGTATGATTCCCATCTTGATGCATGTCCACTTGAGTACATGAACATGTGACATTTAATTGCTTTACATAAATAATATCTAATCCTGAAACAGTGGTTGATTCATTTCAGGCTTCTCACATTGAATCCACACTTTAACTACACAAATTTCTTATTTTCTTTTCAGGAACATCATCCTATTCCCATCAAGGCTATGGTTGTGAATCTAAACTGTATAGCCTTGACCATGGCCATGAAAAAACTCAAGACAAGAAGAAGAAAAGTTCTGGCCTTGCTACCCTCAAAAAGAAATTTATTAAGCGCAGAAAGTCTAGCCGGTCTGCTGATCATGCCAAGCAGATGCGGGAGCTCCTTTCAGGCTGGGATGTTAGAGATGTCAATGCATTAGTAGAAGAATATGAAGGGACGTCAGCCTTAAAAGAGCTTTCTCTACAAGCCAGTTTGGCAAGACCAGAATGTAGAACACTACAGAAAGATATGGCTGAACTGTATGAGTTTAAATATTGTACGGATGTAGATCTCATATTTCAAGAGACTTGTTTCCCTGTGCATCGTGCAATTTTAGCTGCGAGATGTCCATTTTTTAAGACCCTACTTTCTTCTTCGCCAGAATATGGTGCAGAGATTATAATGGATATCAACACAGCTGGCATAGACCTGCCCATGTTTTCAGCTTTATTGCACTACCTGTACACAGGAGAATTTGGAATGGAAGACTCAAGATTTCAAAATGTTGACATTCTCATGCAGCTTAGTGAGGAATTTGGTACCCCAAATTCTTTGGATGTTGATATGCGAGGATTGTTGGACTACATGTGTTACTATGATGTAATTCTCAGTTTTTCATCTGACTCTGAACTGGTTGAAGCTTATGGCGGAAGTCAGGGCTGTTTAGATGAGGAGCTCAGAGCACACAAAGCTGTAATTTCATCACGGTCACCATTTTTCCGGCATTTGTTGCAACGGAGGATACGGACAGGTGAAGAAATCACAGATCGAACACTAAGGACTCCAACAAGGATTATACTGGATGAATCTATTATACCAAAAAAATATGTGAGAGTAATTTTAAACTGTATGTACACAGACTTGGTGGATCTCTCTATTTTGCACAGCAGTCCTTCAGTGGGAAGTCTGAGTGAAGTTCAGGCTCTTGTAGCAGGAAAGCCAAGCATGACAAGAGCTGAAGAAGCTATGGAACTATATCACATAGCACTCTTTTTGGAGTTCAGTATGCTTGCGCAAGGTATGCCATTATTTGATTTCTTACAGAATCTGTTGAACTGCTTCTCTATGCAGATTTGAACTTCCTGCTTTAAATTTTTTTGTAGATTGTAATTTTGAAGGAAACATCTAGATTTCCTGCTCTATGTAAAAACATGCAAGATTGTGTTACTCTGTTTTAAAATATGGAAACTAGAATTACTTCCTGATTAAGGACATGTTAGTCAATTTTATCAATTTCAAATAAGCATATTACATGTAAATGTCATAGTATGCAATGGGATTTACTTCAAGGTAAGTGTGCAGAGAATTATAAATGATCAAAAACTATTTCTGAGGAGAAAAAGATGATTTCTTTGCGTTTAGAGTCATGTATCCATTACAGAGTCACAATCTTAGGAAGTATTCCTACTTACATGGTTTTATAAGAAAGAAATATCTTTAGAGAGATGTTACAAGCTGCATTCCACTTTGTAAATATCAGAATATTATCTTAAAGGATCTTGTTGGTTGCTTGGCCCCCATTCAGTTGATCAGAAAATAACAAAGATTTCCTAATGCATTTATGGAACAGTATCAGTAGGAACAAAGAAAACTGCCTCATACTAGATTATACTATTGTTCCATTCAGAAGAGTATAGTCTGTTCTAGCCTTTCTCAAATTGTAGGCCAGGAACAGCTAGTATGCCCCAATCAACATTCATATTGACTTCAATGTTGCAGCTTACCCAGAATCTTCATGCAGGAGGGAAAGACTAAATAAATTTGCAGTGTACAGGGAATTGTTACAAGTTAAGGAGAACTTGCCTATATCGGTTTGGTTCATGCCTAAATACATTTTGCTGAATTGCATTATTTTGAACCTGAAGTAGTGAAAAAGACCCCCCCCCTTTTTTTTTTCTTTTTTTTGTTTTTGTTTCTGCGAGGAATCAAAGACATGGGTAGGGTAGGGTAGGTCATTTAGGGATGCACAGAACAGTTGTTCTTCAGAGGCCAGAACAAGTACAAAAACTGATCTCCGACATCTTCCACAGAAATCCCAGCACATTTTCAATGTTTACAAAAGGATGTCTAAAAAAAGAATAGAAGCAGGGATTCTCAGAAATGCAGATTTGTTTCCTGCATGTACATAGAAGTCTTGTTAAATTGGTGAAAGATGTCCATGTGGAAAGTGTTTTGTAATGAGAGACTGTTTTATAGCTCAAAGAGATAGTTGTAATTTTATACTTGCTTTGTAGCAGTTTAATGCTATAGTATTGCTGTATAATTTCTTGGACATACATTACCTTAATACAGAGCTTTCCAAACATTTCATATTGGTTAACACTTTTTAGAGATGCCTCCTTTCATGACACAGTGATTCAGTTTTACTACAAAACTGAAGGTTAAACTAACCCCTTATAAGAGATACAGACACATGAATAAATTGTAATGCAGACACAACACATCTCATAAAAATATTTCATTTATATTTTTAAAAAATATATGATTTCACATACTCAGAAGTTTCTTATTACATTCATGCAACACAGCTACACACTGCAGCCGACTCACAAATGTGTTGTGACATACAGTTTGGAAAGCTCTGCCTTAATAGGTGCTATATTTGATCTAGGATTTCGATTTCCATCATCACAAAACAGTGTGGAAGTGCTTGGAGCTGTAGAAAATCTAGACCAGTTCATATGGATACTAACCAATTGGGTAAACTATGGTCAAGAGAAACAGGGAAGAGGAATTTCTATTAGGAAGGTTGAATATGATTGTATGAGTCATTTCCACTGTCCAGTATGATTAAGAACAATATTTTTAAATCAGGTTCGGAAAAGTTGGAGTAGTTGCGGTGGCTAGTGCTGAAGGGCATTGCAGTTCAACAACATCTCAAAAGTATATACCTTATTTTCCGGCATATAAGATGACTCTACCAACGCACACCAAATAAAATTTTTAAAAGCATCAGGTTTGATTTCAATATGGTAATTTTCCTATTACTGTACCTCCTTCTCTGCTTCTCAGATCTTGCACCTGTGCACCTGCACTGCTTCATTGCAGTCTTCAGGAGTGAGATCTGAGAGGTAGAGGAGGTACACTAATAGGATATAAGGGTGGGCCAGACAGATAAAAGAGGTGTGTTTTTCTGGGCCCAGAGCTCCCCCCACCACATGCGGCAACCACAGATTCTCCAATCGGGATTGGAAGTTTCAGCACCTGCTCTATAAGACTACTGTGTATAAGACGACTCCCGCGTATAAGACGACCCCTGACTTTTGAGAAGATTTTCTTGGGTTAAAAAGTAGTCTTATACGCCAGAAAGTATGGTAGTTATCTATTTTTGTATTAAATCTTTACCAGGCTTGCTACTATCCAACACGTGAAGCTGTTGACCTTTCGACTGAAATTGGTGAATTGATTCCTTAGTATACCGCTCCAACTTCATGTCATTTCCTTCAGTTCACTGCCAGTTCTCATTGCAGTCATGTTCCTGTTGTGTGCCTTTAAGTCATTTTGACTAATGGCAACCCTAAGGCTTTCACAAGGTTTTCTTGGAATGGTTTAGTTCATAGAGGGTTTACCTTTTGTCTTTTTCTGATGTTATGAGAATGGGACTTGCCCAGAGTCACTCAGTGGTATTTGAACTCTGGTTTCCCAAATCATACTCCAGTGTCCAAATCACTATACCACACTGGATTTCAGTCTCGCTATACACTGTAGGGAGAGCTGGGTACTTTTAAATACAACTTCATTCTCTTCATTTCCATATGAAGTCATGTGATTTCTTAAAGAAGATTAGAGGGTTTTTTAAAGAATGATTGGTTATGTAGATTATGCAAAAGAGTTGACATAATTTACTTGACATATTGAGGACATATTTGGAAAACTTGATAATGATACAAGACTTTTAAATCAACAGGCACTGGCTGCTATAGCTTAAAATACAGTACATCAAATACAATTCACTGGTTTCTAAATAGTTTGTGTCAAGTTAGTCTTAATCAGCCTGAGAAATATAGCTAGGTTTAGGTACAAGCATATTACACCAGAACTTGTTAATTATTATTATTATTATTATTATTATTATTATTATTATTTGTAAATGGGCCTATCTCCCCGAGGGGACTCAGGGTGATTTCCAGCTATGAAACAAATTGGCAAACATGCAGTGCCAAAGCAGACATGTATTAAATAAAGAAATCATGTGATTTCTTTATTCACGTGACTTTATTGTTCATATATCTTGGCTTCCAGACTTGTCTCTGGATCCAATTCAAAGTGGATATAGACTAATATATTTAGAAAGGATTCCATCTATCTGCCGTGTTCCCTACCAGTGCAGGAATCCAAAGCTAAAATGTCCCTTAGAGGTGATCATCCAGTCTCCATTTAAAAGCATCCAAGGCAATTGAATCCACCAACTTCTGAAAATTCTTCCTGATGTTTAGTAGAATCATAGAATCATAGAATCAAAGAGTTGGAAGAGACCTCATGGGCCATCCAGTCCAACCCCCTGCCAAGAAGCAGGAATATTGCATTCAAATCACCCCTGACAGATGGCCATCCAGCCTCTGTTTAAAAGCTTCCAAAGAAGGAGCCTCCACCACACTCTGGGGCAGAGAGTTCCACTGCTGAACGGCTCTCACAGTCAGGAAGTTCTTCCTCATGTTCAGATGGAATCTCCTCTCTTGTAGTTTGAAGCCATTGTTTCGCATCCTAGTCTCCAGGGAAGCAGAAAACAAGCTTGCTCCCTCCTCCCTGTGGCTTCCTCTCACATATTTATACATGCTATCATATCTCCTCTCAGCCTTCTCTTCTTCAGGCTAAACATGCCCAGCTCCTCAAGCCGCTCCTCATAGGGCTTGTTCTCCAGACCCTTGATCATTTTAGTCGCCCTCCTCTGGACACATTCCAGCTTGTCAATATCTCTCTTGAATTGTGGTGCCCAGAATTGGACACAATATTCCAGGCTTGGTCTAACCAAAGCAGAATAGAGGGGTAGCATGACTTCCCTAGATCTAGACACTATGCTCCTATTGATGCAGGCCAAAATCCCATTGGCTTTTTTTGCCGCCGCATCATATTGTTGGCTCATGTTTAACTTGTTGTCCACGAGGACTCCAAGATCTTTTTCACACGTACTGCTCTAGAGCCAGGCATCCCCCATTCTGTATCTTTGCATTTCGTTTTTTTCTGCCAAAGTGGAGTATCTTGCATTTGCCCTATTGAACTTCATTTTGTTAGTTTTGGCCCTTCTCTCTAATCTGTTAAGATCGTTTTGAATTCTGCTCCTGTCTTCTGGAGTATTGCTATCCCTCCCAATTTGGTGTCGTCTGCAAACTTAATGATCATGCCTTCTAAACCTTCATCTAAGTCATTAATAAAGATGTGAACAGGACTGGGCCCAGGACAGAACTCTGCGGCACCCCACTTGTCACTTTTTTCCAGGATGAAGAGGAAGCATTGGGGAGAATCACCTTTTGGGTTTGTTCACTTCACCAATTACAGATCCACCTAACTGTAGTTTTGCCTAGCCCACACTTGTCTAATTTGTTTGCCGGAAGGTCATGGGGGACCTTGTCGAAGGCCTTACTGAAATCCAGGTCCGCTCATGACTTGTTTTGGATAAATCCGTGTTGACTATTAGCAATGACCGCTTTTGTTTCTAAGTGTTTGCAGACCACTTCCTTAACAATCTTTTCCAGAATCTTGCCCGTATCGACGTGAGGCTGACCGGACGGTAGTTGTTTGGGTCATCCTTTTTTCCCTTCTTGAAGATTGGGACCACATTGGCCCTCCTCCAATCTGCTGGAACTTCTCCCGTTCTCCAAGAACTCTCAAAGATGGTTGCCAATGGTTCAGAAATGACTTCCGCTAGTTCCTTCAATACTCTTGGGTGTAGTTGATCTGGCCCTGGGGACTTGAACTCATTAAGAGCGGCCAGGTATTCCTGGACGACTTCTTTCCCAATTTGGGGTTGGATGTCCTCCAATCCCTCATCCACTCCATCTTGCTGAGGTTGAAGACTCT